ATCATAACAAACTATGGCTGACTCTGAGAAGAATGGGAATCCCAGAACACTTGATCGTTCTAATGCGAAACTTATACTTGGACCAGGAGGCATTTGTCAGAACAGAGCAAGGGAACACTGCATGGTTCAAAATTGGGAAGGGCGTACGCCAAGGATGCATCCTATCTCTATACCTTTTCAACCTATATGCAGAACAGATTATCCAGGAATGACAACATAGAATCTTAAAATTGTGGTCTCAGAGGATATGAACGTCAGTGGGTTTGACAGTCTACAAACATAATGTTCTACACTCAGGTGAGTAGTAACTGAGGTCTTTAAAGCTCATCAACAGCTTTGTAAGATGCAACTAAAACAAAGATAAATGAAGAAAATCAAAGATGTGTGAAACAATTAGTCCAGAGGACTAATGGAACACACAAACTTGAAACTCCACTGCCCAGACACCAGAAGAGCTGGATGGTGCCCAGCTACGGCTGACTGCTGTTAGGAATATACCCCAGGGGGTAAAGAACTGAGACATGTGGAGATTTGTACACCTATGATATTCACAATCACAGGAAAATAAAAACAACCCATGTGTCCATCAACAAATGAATGGATTGAGAAATTATGGTACATTCACACATTGGAATACTAGGCAGCACTCAGGAGCAACAATTTCAAAAAATACCAACATGGGAGAGACTGGAGATCATTAAGCTGAGTGAATTAACCCAGTCTCAGTTTTAAGTGTTAGCTGCTAAGATGGGTGGTCAGGAGGCTGGAGGATCACCAGGCCATTTATCAGTGTCACCCCCACACGGTCTTAGAAGTAGTTTCAGGGTTCAGTTGATAAGTAATGCAATCAGCTCGAAATTAGAAGCTGAAGCTCCCTTTATTTATGGAGTGCATAGTACATTTTGTCCACCAGAGGGTCCCACAGTACTGAAAGATGAGTCTTTTGCTCTGTGAAGTGGTCATTCAGAAGTGATGAGTGTTCTTAATGGAGATGGACGTCCACAGTGAAACAGGGCCCTGCCATTCGCAGGTCAGGTCCTTTCAAGTTTTACCTGGTGCTTAAACTTGTTCATAATTTTAACGGGAATATCATGAATCAGAAATAAAAATTGTGTAGGGGTTTTTTACTTGGCTGTATATTTTCATGGAAGCAGACTACCACATTTTTCAGGTTAATTCAAACGGCTTATGCGTTGGTTAGCAGCTAAACATTTTAACTACACTGTGCCACCAGGGTTTTTCGCTTTGAAACCTTAAAGGGCATAAGATATTTTCAGAAGGATTTTTATTACTTTAAAAGGCATGTTTAAACAACAGCCTTAGCAAATTTTTAGTACATTAAAAAAAGTTCCTATGTTAAAAATAAGTCATTTCATTATAAGTGCTATGAAGCTAGATACTCATAAAATTTATTAATATCATTTGAAAGAAATAAATATTGTATAAAGAAACTGGTACCTGAAAGTTTCCAGTGGGGATATTTAATATAAAAATGTAAATATTGATGAGTGCAGAAAATGAGAATGTCTTAAAAATGTTTATAATTACTATTTTATATATTATCTTATTATCTGAATATAATGTAGTAGAAATTGATATCATTGTGACTACAAAAATGAGTTCCAGTATTTAGCCATTAACATACAATGTCACCTTTTTGCTGGTGTTCAGGCCTGTTGAAATCTCCCATGGTTTGTATGTATAGTATAAGAATGTACATAATCTGGTAGGGTTTTTTTCCCTTCTGTCTTCCCTACAAATCAGGTCACATGAGGGGCTCCTTGCTGACTCTGCAGAGATTAGTTCAACTTTTCCCCAGTGATACTTCCTTAAAGAATGACCTTGGAGTGGGGTACCTCCTCATGGGGGACAACGACAGTGCCAAGAAGGTGTATGAAGAGGTAAACAGTGATTTCCTCTTAGCTGAGTAGTGTCAATACTGAGACCTGATGTTAAGGGGAATACAAAAGGACCTCAGGTAGCCTAGTGGTAAGAAGCTGCGCTGCAATCCCAAAAGTATGTGGTTCAAATCCACCAGATGCTCTGTGGGAGAAGGATGGACAGTCTCCTCCTATGTGATTTACTGCCTCTGAAAACCTGCCTGAGGGTCAGCTGTGGGTCAGTTCTAATCAGTGGTACACAAAAACTACGAACAACAATGTCTACTGTCACAACTCTTTTTTTTTTCAATTGACACATACTTTTATAATTCACATATTATTTTTAATGTTGTTTTTCACATTGGGTTTTTTTCACCCCTTCATCAGAAATAGATTCCAGTTTTAGGTCTTGTGTGCTATGGAGTTTATTCCCACTCACAGTGACTCTGGCTTACTGATGTAACTGCCCTGTCACGTCTATTAGGCTAAAATCTTATCCTTTGTTTTATTTACTCCTTGACATTGTTATTGTCTGCATGTGAGGCTCCCTTCCTAACTTGACTGAAAGCCCTCAGAAAAAAAACCCCTTATATTCATGTTCGTTAGTTCAGGACCTAGAAAAGTTCTGTACATTAAAAATATTAAATGAATAAATAGGTTGTTAACTGAGATGTGTACCTGCAGTAGCCAGAAGTCATCTGCGGGACTCTAGTCATTACTGTCACTCCATATTTAATGCTGGCAGAAACAGGATTAAGCCCTGTTTGTTTTAACTCAAGAGCTATTTCCTGAGCTCCTGTGTGGAGTTTAGCTCAGTACCAGATGCTGTGGACAATGTGGGAGAATGTGGTCCATGCTGCAGAGCTGTGGTTAGGAGAAAACACCAGGATGTGTATGCTCCTGCATACGTTGCCTCTGAAAACCCACCCCTGTGTCCACCAGGCACCATTCTAGACACTAAGATGCAAATTATCCAGTGGTTCAGGTCATAGGAAACCCCCATTAGCACCACCTTTCCCAGGTCAAACATGTTCCTCTCACAGAGCAGACCTCCTACACCTCTCAAATAGTGGGCCCCACTACTCTTCACCTCACTCAGATCCCAAGCAAGCCCTAAGTAGCTATTCATACTGTTACTGATCATTCCCTGCCTTTTTGAATTCTTACTTCACAGGATAAAAGAAATTACCAATTTGAATCAACTGCTGTGACATCCATATTCTCCCCTGGCTACTGGTCCTGGGCCAACTCAATCCAGCCTCTGAGCCCCAGATCTTCACCCTGTTCAGCAGGAAGTAGCTAGAATAAAGATACATCACCTTTTCTCTCACTAAAGAGTCTGGGATGTTAGGCCCAGACCAAGGTCAAAGGAGAAGAATGAAGGATTCAAAGAATATCAACATGTCAACAAAGGGAATGAAGGGCCTGCCCACCTGGCTAAACCACAATGGAATGCCCCTCTCTTCCCTTCCTAAAGACCCTTACTATAAAAACCTGCCCAACCCACCGTAGGGTACAGTTTTTCCCTGGTCTGTCTCTCTCCAGACCAAGGAATCCAGCCCTGGAGCTCCCTTAATAAAGCCTCTTTAGCTTTTTTTTTTTTTTCCCTTAAAAAAAAAAAAAGAAGAAGAAGAAGAAGCAGGAGTAAAGAAAATCCCCGTAGGCTTTGCTTTCATTTCATTGGGGAAATGAAAAACAATGTATCGTGCAGTCACATACTCAGTGCTATGAATTGAGAAAGAAGTTACTGAGTGATGGATGAAGGGTATCAGGGGTTCTTTTTCATATTTGTTTTTCTTGGCCTGCTTCATTAAGAAGGAAGCGTTGACTAAATGAGGCTGTTGTCTACAGAGGCTGGACCTTTTTAAATGGCTTCCAACAATCAATGAAGGTTCCACTCTCCATATCACTCCCAACACTTGTTATCTTTTAGACTTTTCTTTGCAATAACCATTCCAGTGGGTATGACATGGAATCTCATGGTGATTTTGTTTTATATTTCCCTGATAACACATGATGTCTTTGGAAAGAGACCTCATGCAAGAAAAGTGGAGGAAGGCTCTCAACGAGGCGAACTGACATAGTGACTGCAGCAGTGGGCTCCAGTATGGAGGTCGTGAGGATGGTGCAGGACACGACAATGTTCCTATCTGTTTTCCATAGAGTCCCTATGAGTTGTAGTCAACTGACAGCACCTAACAAGAAGAGGAACTCTTGATATTGAACATCTTTTTAATTTTTTTTTTTTTAATTTTGTGTGAATGTACCGTCAAATTGGATCTGACTGGTACAGGAGGATATTGTCCCTCCTTTCCCGGCAGAGCATCTGGTGGATTCGAACTGTGCGCCTCTGGGATTGTAGTTGCAACTCCTTGCCACTAGGCCACCAGAGCTCCCCTGATAGTGAACATCTTTTTATGTGCTTATTGGCTGTTGTACATCTTATTTTAAGAAATGTCTGTTGAGTGGCTTTGCCTAATTTTAATTGGGTTATTACTCTGCTGTTGCATTGTAGCAATTGATTCCACCTTCTGTGTATTACAGCCACATCAGATACATATGGTTTTCCAAGTATCTTTGCATACTCTGCAGGTCAGCCATGTGAACAATGCTGTGATTTATATTAAATATTTGCCTGGGTTTTGTCACAGAATATTATATTTGCTCACTGTTTCATCTTCAGGGCTTAAAACAGTCTGAACACTTAAGAATTTTTGTAGTATGAATGAATAGTGGTATGTTATGAATATAAATCAGAATTTTCTCTTAGCTAAGGATATGTATGAAGTAATGTATGATTACCATTCATAACTGTGATCAAGCATAGCAAGTTTAGGGCAGCTTTTCCCTAAATAATAAAATCATGATTGAAGCCTTATCAGTTTGCTGATTTGAATTGTTAAAGCAGTGCTTTTAAAGTTATTTCCTTTAGTTCAGTATTTTATTCTTGAGAGACCAGTGTGTAGGTATGAAAGTATTTTGAACTGAAGAAAAATGGACTATTGAAGTCAGCTATATTAGTGAGACAAAGCACAAATGTTTTAAGGTGGAACATCATAATCCAACCCAATTACAGCAGTAATTGTAATTACAACAGTAGTTTGTAGAATATTTAGTCCAGCATAATACCTTTTGGTTTTCTTTGAATTTAGGTTCTGACTGTGACACCCAGTGATGGCTTTGCTAAAGTGCATTATGGCTTCATTCTGAAGGCACAGAACAAGATCGCAGAGAGCATTCCTTACTTAAAGGTAACTATTATCGCCTGTCCTTCCCCCCATTGCCTCATTCTGCCTGGCTGGTCAGGAAACCCTTGATTATGCCTGTGCATTAGTATGCATGTGCTATATCATCAACACAGACCCCTTCAGATCCTGACATCTGTATGATGTATAATAAATACAATAAATATATAAATATAAATATAACACCAACCATGTGAGCAGAAAGTGTTAGAAAAAATTACTAAAGCTACACTTGTTTTGAGTTTTTTCTTTGGTAAATAACACAGAAGAATTATTAATACTCATAATTTGGTCAAGGGTGTTCTGGTCCACAGGGAGTAGTCCCAGGGAGTTGTCCATAGTGAGGTTCACATGGCCCCAGTGAGTTGGACTGCTAGCCCGAGGCTGCATGTCTCCAGCAGTTCTAAAATGTACCAGCGGCCCTGTGAGGGGGAGATGGGCAGCCTCAGAAACTCAATGGAAGGTCACTGTGAGTCATAGCCGATTGAACAGCACTGAGCTTTGAATTTAAAGTTTGGACAGGACATTGAATGTCTCTCTTACAAATGATGTAGGATTTGAGTCTGCTCTGGACAGCCATCATGGCTAACTCATGTGAAGTGAGGTAAGAAGTGTAGACCCACAGATCAGACCCTGAAAAGCCTCACAATAACTCAAAATATTCAGATAAAAATATGTTGGTATTTTTTTTCCTCGCTCACATATCTATTTTGATGTGTGACAGTTTGGTTACATTTGGTCTAATTAAGAACTATCCAATAGAACTTTCTGTGATAATGGAAATTCTCTTTATTTGTACGAGTATATTTGAGACAGTGAGATTGACTCAGGATAAGGCAGAGTTCAGAATTATTGCTCATAGTGAACAGTATTGTGTGGGACATAACAACAATAACACATGATAACCACAAGCAACTTATGGCCATCAAGCCCCTGAGGAATGGAATGTAACCATTATCTTTTATTTTCATTTCCATGGCAACATATGCCACTCATTTTGGACAGCATAGGTCACTGCTTAATTAGCTCTGAACTTTTTTTAAGGAGCAATATATTAATTAAACTTTTTAAAAACCCTTCATTTTGTGTAGTTTTAATCAGAGATCCCAGATAGTAGCTATTATGTTGGCCTTGCTTTATCCCAAGTGTTTCATTTGGCCAACACTGTTTTTTAAAATGCACTCTAGATTTCTTGCCTTAATTTAAAATCTGGACACTTACTTTGAAAATGCAGATTCTTACTTTTCTTGAATTCTGCCTCTTCCACATCCCTTCACCCCTGTCTCTCATGGAGCCAGGTAGAGGCATTTTCTTGAGGTGAGCCTGCTTCCTCCACCAGGCAGCTGTAAACTTTTCCTGGCCGGCCAGAGTCCTCTGGCATTTTGGTTCTGTGGTTTAAATTTCCCATTAATATTTCCTTTGACATAATGAGAGCCTAGACCTGGAACAAGATGGATTGAAACAGTGACTACAGCAGTGGGACATGGTGGAGGTTCAGATCCGGTGCTCGCAGGGTCCTTGTGAGTCACAGTTGGTGTGAAGGCACCTAAAAACAACAGTTCTCTTTTGGCTTCCAAGATTAACAAGGAAACTGAGAGTCAAGGTCATTAGTTAATGAGGGAAGATATCTGAGTGTTGGTAAAGTTGTTCTGAGCACAGCTGCCTCCTGCATCTGAGTGGTGCTTGTCCTCCCAGGACTTTAAAGTAGGACCTCTTAGGACAATAATGGGCTCTAGTGAGGAAACCTCAAAGCCCATCTTTGTTGAAGAATTCCTAGATATTCACATACTTTTGATTTTGTCCTTTTGCTTTTCCACATTCATTTTAACATTTTCTTCCTCTTTTTAAAAAAAAACTTAAATTTTTACTATAAATGGTTAACTATTTTTAGTTAAGATATGTTTAGTAAGGAACATGATTTTAAAGATTCAAATTTAATTTTGTTAAATGTTTTATTAAAGATTTTGCTAAGGGTGATGGCATTTGTTTCAGTTAAAAAACATGACTTGGAATATTGAAACTTAAAACATTTGCAACTTGGAAATATTACTCTGTGACTTCAGATATTTGATGGGAAATTACAAATTATGATTTAGGAATAAAAATCTCTAGATGACATATGGTCAGATTTGAAGAAAGAAATGTAATAGATAAAATACATGGCCAGAGAATTCACTGGAATGTTGGATCATGATTGCTCTCAGAGAAGAGTCACCAAGTATGTTCACTGTCCTGGCTATTCCATTAGACTTTCTTATTGCTGTTGAGTTGGAACTAACTCATAGCTGCACCTCCAGTGGGTTTTCAGAAGCTGTAAATGACACAAGAGGAGATTGTCAATCTTTCTCCCACAGGGCAGCTGGTGGATTCAAAGTGCCCATCTTAGGGCTTGTAGTGCAATTCCTTACCCATTAGGCCACCAGAGTTCCCAACTCCAGTAGCAGTAAATACATTGGCAAATTTAGCCTTAAGATCTTCCTTGATTTTCCATTGAAAATGTTGACTAATTGTCAAACTATAATGTTGAAATGTGCTTTTCTGTTTCTTATATTTTTCTCTCAATATATTACATATAGCTAATGTGTTTTATATAATACTTAATTCACTAAATAATTAAACGGGTATTGCATCCTCTCACAAACCCTGCTAATACCCATTCCTTGCCATTGTTTCCTTTCTTAACTTTCCTGCAGGAAGGGATAGAATCTGGTGCTCCTGGCACTGATGATGGACGATTTTATTTCCACCTGGGTGACGCCATGCAGCGGGTTGGGGACAAAGAGGTAATTAGTTTCTGAACTCCTTGTTTTCTCTAACATAAGACAGTAGAAAAGACTCATTTCTAGGGTAAAGATAACCTTGACAAAGATGTTAAACAAATATTGGAAGATGGTGCTTTAAACTGTAATTAGTGAAACTATTCTAGTTGAACTGTTTTCAAAACAATGCAGTGGTTCCTACTTTATGCTTTACAGAATATTGGGGATTTGACTTTGTTGTTTCTTTTAAGAAAGTAGCTGAGTCCTCACAAAGTCAGCCTTGAAATCAGTGTGTATATGTGTCTCTATTGTATGTGTGACCATGTATTTTTTTTAGAATGCGTTCTTTATTCAGCTTATTGCTGTGCATTTGGAACCAAAAGGTTAATTGTGTAATTTGCCTCCTGAAACACTCAATACAAAGTTCAAGGTGAACATTTCTACTTGTAATAATCTGACAAATACTGGCATAAAAAATGTAGTAGCTGAAACTGGTGATTTTGTGAATGTGTATATGTGTGCCTATGACTTTTTTTTTAAGCATAGTATCAGCCTCTTTAAACATACCGTTCTGTCATTAGCCTGGCGTACTATAATATAAAATGTCTGAAATCTTTCATTGACAGTTCTCCTGGGTGATGATCTCATTCTCTGTCTCACATGCCTACTGTCCCTCTATGGTATTCCCTCATGTTAGTGATTAACGGGGATACTGGGGTCCACTGAATCTTTATAATCATTATATTCCATTTGTGTAATAAAGAGACTTCTAAGGCCAGCACAGTTTTAGGTTTCCAAAATTAATAAGACTAGGGGACCATTTGGACAATTAAAGGTTCAGGGGGCAGAGGAGTTTGTGACAGGGTAATTGCCAGCTAGAGACATAAGCTAATTTGGAGCAACAGAGGTTTGGGTAATTGAAAATATTTTCTGGATATGTTTCTACTTATCTGTACCTTTCCCAGTCTAACCTACCAGTCAGTCCTCTGAAATAGCATGAGGCATTAGGAGTGATAAGAACAAAAGGAAAATAAATTGTACATTAAGAATACCTTCATGAAGGAGCCCCTTCATCCTGTTAGTTAGAAATGACCTGCACCTCCTTTGGAGTAAAGGGATAAGGACAATCCTGTGACCATATCTAACATTTGATGACTGTAAACATAATATTCACTAATTAATTTATCTTTGAAAATTTCAGAGTCCAGGGTAAAGACAGATAAAAGAAGTCTGTATTTATATTAAGTCTTAGATAAAAACAGCTCTGACTTCAAGGGCAAAGAATTCCCTTCTGAACACTTGTTGAAGGCTTCAGATTTAAGCCTATGGGACTCCTCTCCACGCTTAATGATTATTAATATGCAAGGAAAATCACCGTTCTTGGGTTTAAAGAGTTTACAAGGATTCATTTTCTTACGGAGAGAGAATCCAAGCTTATGGAATCCCACTTTAGTCTACTCATAGTAGCGTGTGTTGAAGCTAAAATGACTAGTTCCTTAAGTTTGTTAGGGTGGTAAGTGCCCATCCTTGCTCTGATATGGGAAACTTTTCTTCAGCTCCAAAGGGGCATCTGTTCATCAAAGTAAACACCTTTGTACTTCACAGGGTGATAACAACGCTGTTTTCAGGGAAGACTTTTCCAGCAGGTATGTTTAGTATGCACAGAAAAGGGAGAAAACAGCTAAGAGAAGCTTACAACAGTTTGATTTCAGCTATGCCCAGTATTTTCTAATGGTTTTCTTTTCAAGGTTTAGATGAATATATCATAAGCACAGCAGAGATCGTGAGCAGGACACAGGATTTGGGCAGAATTTCCTTCTGTTAAATAAAAGATCACTATGAGTCGGAGCTGATTTGATGCACATAATTCCCAGCGACATAGAGTGCCCTGGAGTCTTCAGTAGTGGGATCTAGTGTGTAAGAGATGATGAGGATGGCATAGGATAGCGCAGGATTCAGACTGGCTCTTCATAGGGTCATTGTGAATAATACTTAACTCGGGGGCACCTAACAACAACAGCAAAGTTTGATGTCACTTCACAGAGGACAGAGACAAATCACTGTTGTCTACATGTTACCATTTTCCTCCTTGGTTACATCTGTAATGTGATGATATTGTCAACTTTTAATATATAATTTGAGCCACTTTTAGTTCTTTTTTCCCCTGGGAAGGCCCCTTCCTTGATCTTGTTTCCATTGAACCACATTCTGGGAATTCAGCTTCCTTGATTTTTTTTCACCTTTATACCATGTACTGCCAAGAAAACAAACAGGTCTGTATTGGAGAAGGTGAAACCAAATTTCTCCTTGAAGGCTAGGATTTTGAAACTCTTGTCTACATTCTTAGGGCATGTGGCCAGGAGGAACTGGTCCCTTGAGAAGGACATCATGCTTGGAATGGTGGAGGGACAACGCAAGAGAGGGAGACCCCAGATGAGATGCATTGATACAGTGACTGGGGTGGTAGGGATTGATGTGTGTGGGTCAGTGAGACTGGCTCAGGTCAGAGTAGGCTTAAGACCTTCTGGACAGAGGGTTGCTATGAGTCACAGGCAATTCAACGGCACATAACAATAATAATATATCATGGATATTTTTATTTTTTGTTACCTTCCATTTCAAGGGTATCCTGAAGAATTTTACTCTTTGTTCTTTCTTTAATATAAATTTCATTGAGTCTGCCCCTTCCCAGAAATCCTGAAGTGCAGAGGAAATATAAAGCTCTATTTCTAGGCAGTGGCATTCACTCTTTGCACAGGAAAATTGCTAATATCCTTTCTCACCATGACTTCATCAACCACTTTCTCATTCTCCTTCTGTCATGCATCACACTCCAGGCTTCACACCTCATTCCAGGCTGCACACCTCACTCCAGGCTGCACACCTCACTCCAGGCTGTACACCTCTCTCCAGGCAGCACACCTCACTCCAGGCTGCACACCTCACTCCAGGCTTCACACTGCACTCCAGGCAAAGTGGACATCAACTGGGACATGTGGATAAGGTCATTTCTCAACATGAGTGCATGTCTGAGAGAGAGAGAGAGAGACAGACAGACAGACAGACAGACAGGGAGAATGAGGAAAGAGAAAACATACAAAAATTCATGCATGCCAATAATTTTGTTAAAAGTATAGAACACATTTTGACTATGTGAATCACAACAAATTGTGCTAACCTTGAGAAGAATGGGAATCCCAGAACTCTTGATTGTGCTTATGTGAAACCTATATTTGGGCCAGGAAGTAGTGAAACACTGCATGGCTCAAAATCAGAAAGGGTTTATGCCAGGAATGCATCCTATTTCCACACTTTTCAGTCTATATGTGGAACAGATTATCTGGGAGGCTGGGTTTTATCAGGAGGAATGTGGCATCAGGCTTGGAGGAAGACTCTTCAACATCCTGCAATATGCAGAAGACACAACCTTGCTTGCTTAAACTGAGAAGGAACTGAGGCATTTGGTGCAAAAGGTAAAGGACTGTAGTCTGCAATACAGATTGAAGCTCAACATCAAGAAAACAAAGATTCTCACTACTGGGCCAATTGGCAGCATCATGATAGATGGAGAAGAGATTGAAATTGTTAACAGCTTCAGCTTGCTTGGCTCCACAATCAACACTCTTGGTACCAGTAGCCAGAAAAATCAAAAGATAAATTGCATTGTCAAAGTCTGCTGTCAGGGATCTCTCCAGAGTACTGGGGAGCAATAATAACAGTATAGTGACTAAAGTGCACTGATCCAAGCCATGGTCTTTGCAATTACTTGCTATACATCAGAGAGCTGGACAATGAATAAGGATGATAGAAGATTTGATGCCTTTGACTTGTGCTGCAGAAAGGTATTGAACATACATACCATGGACTTCCAAGAGAACAAACAAACCTGTCCTGGAGAGAGTGCAATCAGGCTACACCTTGGAGGCTAGGATTTTGAAGCTCCATCTCACTTTGGGCACATGGCCAGGAGGGACCGGTATTTGGAGAGGGACATCATGGTTGGAAAGGTGAAGGGACAGAGCAGGAGAAGAAAACTCCAGATGAGATGGATTAACACAGTAACTGGGGTAATGGGGTTAAGTGTGTCAGAAACAGTGAAATTGATTCAGGAGACAGGTTTCAGAGCTACTGTACATAAGGAATTATGAGTCATAAGCAACTCAACAACACATAACAACAACAACAGAAGACATTAATATAAAATACACTTAAGAATGTGTCCCAGTGTGCATTTTGTCTATGTTAGTATTCTGGATTAAGGATTTAAAAGGGAAATAGTAAAGAGGAATTTTTCAGAGAAGTCTAACTTAATCATTTATTAGATTTTAAAAAAATTATCTAATTAATCCACTAAATTTGTTATATCCCCATATGCCATTTGTCAGAGTCTTCTTTCTCCTGAAAGCTAAATGGTAGAGATTCAGAGCTAAAGATCCTATTTGAAGGAGCTGTTCTTAGTTTTAATCTCAGGAAAGACCTTATAGAAAGACAGAAGAAGAGTAGTAAAAGTTTCCCAAACTCTAACTTCCATTGGAGGATACACACTCTTTATGAACCTCAATTCAGTTCTAGTATTTGTGAAAAAGGGATGTTTGAAATGATTTTTTAAAAAATATATATGTTTGATTGTGTTTGTGTGCGTGTGTGAAAACAAGTAATAATACTCTCATATTTTAATGTTTTACTGAAGGAAATTTTGTGCTATGACCTTTAAAAGACTTAAAAATGTATTTGTAGAACTAATAGATAAAATATATTAATATAGAATTTATATACTCACATCTAACAGTTTTATAAAGTCAATACTAATTTTCATTAATTAAAATATGTATTTGAAATTATTCTTCAGAAGTAATAATGAGATCAGATTTGTGATACTAGAGGTACAATGGTGAATGAACAACTAGAAACATCTCTAGTTCAGGGATAATGGGCTTAGCAAAGTGCAAGATACGTATGGGAGCATGCCTGGCTCTGGGAACATATGGTTAGAGTGTCCTTTGAAGCAGACATATGGGAAAGTGTAATCTGCATTCTGCAGCCAGCTATCCCTGAAATGACTCATCATTTTGGATGCAAGCTCTGTCAGGTTACAGCTAGCCTGAAGTCACTAATGTTATTCCCTATAGAAAAAAAAATTTAAAGATTCTTGTTTTTAAAAAATTGTAGTATAGACTGTGACTTTATTGCTAACTCAGAATAGTATTTCCTTTCTCTTTATGTCATTTAGTAGGTAACAGACTCTGTCACCTTCAGGTGGCCTTTTCATGAGAGTTTGACCAAAGGACAGTCTTCCTTCTATTGGGGATAGTTGTCCTCTTGAAACCAGGTGCACAGCTTTGGGAGGAACGTACATGGAACAGTGAGGGAAGAAGGGGACACTTGCCTAGCCAGCCAGATCAGCCAAATCAACCCTGATGTTGCAGCCTGATCACTGTCACAACCTACATGGCCTTTTAAAATGCTGACATATGATAATTAGTGCACATGTCTAAAGTCCTTGTTCCCTCTGTTATCAGTTCAATTCAAATATCTTTGAAGAAATTACTAATATCATTGTCTTTTCTCATTAAAAAATATATAAAGGCAGAGTTTAAGAAATGAAACCTAAAGTAGAAATTATTTCCCAATGATGTCTTAATTTATCCATTCAACAAATATGTACAGAATGCTATGCAAGACCAAAGTAGTGAGGCCTGAGTCCAGACTTAGCATGAAAATTATAATCCTCACTTTTATTTCTAATAGTAGTAGGCCATAATTAGAAGTCCAGTGAAAGAACAGTGTTTGCATTAGTAGGCATCTAACTTGCAAGCTCTTTATCTGTCTCAAAGTAACACATTATTGTTAGTGTTTGTTTTTAATTTTAAAAATTAATAAAAATGCATAATTTGAAGAATAACCTTTCTGAACTTGACCACCCTCTTCTGTCAGGCATATCGGTGGTATGAACTTGGCCACAAGAGAGGCCACTTTGCATCTGTGTGGCAGCGGTCTCTCTACAATGTCAAAGACCTCAAAGCCCAACCGTGGTGGACTGCAAAGGAAACCGGCTACACAGAATTGGTCAAGGTGAGGACAGTGCCAACACCAGCTGCTCATTGGCAGAGAAACGTATTGGGTAGGGAATATCACAGAGGACATAATTTTTCTTCTCTATGAAATTTGCAAAAGATATTTTAAAAGAAGTCATATTTCATCTCATCAGGCAAGTGGTTCTTTTACTTGGAGATGAAGGGAATTTGTCTAGAATATAATTTTTCACTATTTTTGGGCTGAAGACCCATTGATACATTTAAAAAATACTGAAAACATCCAAGGGAGCATTTGTTTATGTGACTTTTATCTATCAATATTTTTTATTTTATATTGGTTTACATATAAAAGTCATACACATTATATTTCATTTATATTCATTGTCTTTTATGCATCCCTCCATTCATTGTTTTCCATTATTGTTCCCATATATTATTTTATAAAATTAATTGTCATTGATCTATGTCCCTTTTACCCTGCCTTTTCTATCAGTATTTGTTCTATTAGAAATGAATACTGGGGGAAAGGCAGTATTTTTATGAATTCTTTCAAAATAACATTATGTTAACACATAATTTGTATTTTACAAATACAATGAGAGGATTTGAATTGTTTTATAATTGTACAGGTCTCTTCAATTTCTAGCTCAATAAAAGATAACTCTGCAGATAATAGCAGTCATACCAGTAACCAGAATGGGGATCCTAACATATGTCTTAGCCTCTAGAAAACTCTGCTGGGTGCTTGTGTCAGAAGAAGAGAGAAAAGGGCAAATAACTCCTGTGCTCAATTAAGAATATGTGTGGTAAAGAGAAATGGTTTGTTTTGAACAAATAAATGTCATAAAAATTGAAAGCCTTGAAATTGGTAATTCAATTCAAACTATAAAATGCACTGTTTAAGATATTCTTGTTCTGGAGGCTGGTCTAAGTTTATACTTTCTTAGGTAAGTCCTCTCTTTTTAAACATATTAGCAAAATAAGAGGTAAACTAACACAGAGTATGTACTTTACCCCTTGTTTTTAGTAGTCTAGTTTGTTGTTGTTGTTATGTGCTGTCAAGTCACCTGCGACTCATAGCAACCATATGTATAACAGCCCTAAACCCTGCCCTATCCTGTGCCAATCTCACTGTCTCTGACACACCTACCCCCATTAACCCAGTCACTGAATCGATCCATCTCATCTAGGGTCTTCCTCTCCTCCTCTATCCCTCCACCCTTGCAAGCATGATGTCTCTCTCCAAGGACTGGTCCCTCCTTGCAACATGGATTACAGTGCAGCTTCTTGTCACAGGCCACCAGAGTTCCCTATATGAACTTAGTCATTAGTTTATTCATTTCTATAAATAATATTGTTTTTGTTGTTGTTAAGTGCCGTCGAGTCGTAGATGACTCATAGTGACCCTATGAACAAAAGACCTGGGCACTGTTCATAGAGTTTCCAGAGGCAATCCATTTCAGAAGTGGATGCTACTCCTGCTTCCAAGCTTGTTTTAATCGGGAAGCTCCACCAAATACTGTCCACCATGGGTAACCATTATCACATTTGGCACATCACTGTCACAGTGTTTAGCATCATAGCAAACACTATAAGGAATATTATTGATATTTTTATTGGGATTTCATTGAATCTGTATGCTGTTTTAGGTAGAATTGAACTTTGCACTGTGGCATTAACATTTCCTATCTTTTGATCCATGAAATTTCTAAAAATGTATGCTTTCCCATTTTTGTGACACAGTGACTGTAATAGGGAGCTCAAGCATATGAAATATCATGAAGATGATCATAGAGATGCTATGAATCATAGTCAACTTGATGGCACTTAATAACAACTTTTAGTCTCTTGTCTCATACTATTGTTGAAAAGTTGTCTATTTGTCTTTTCAAATTACTCAGTAATTGTTTCATGTATTTTGATACATTATTGTTAGGCACACAGATATTTATAATTATGTTTTCTTTAGTAGTTTACCTTTTTATTATTTTGTAATGTCCCTTATCTCATGATTTTTTTTAAAAAGTGAAATTCATTGAGATATAATTTAGATACATTAAAATTAGAACCTTTTGTATACATGTGACCTTTGACAAATGTATATACCTTGTGATCATTACTGAAGGAACATGTCCATCTTGAGGAGGTAACATTAAAATTCCACATTCTGAACAATTGAAGTTTTGCTAAGAAGAATAAAATGATATTAAACAGCCATTAGGTATATGGATGCTAAATGCACATCTACTTAACATAATCGTTTGGAAAATAAAAATTATAAAATGGAAACATTT